AGGTTTTATGAAAATGTGTTTTCTTCCTTGGGGTTTATTTTCTGAGTTTTTGTTTATATCCACCAACTTGATTTTTCCCCCCTAAGCATATTCATATTTTGTTCTCAGTGTCACCTATTTATTACTATCCTGTTGGCACTTGTCAAATGAGTTTGTGATTGGACAGGGTGATGAAAATGCCTCCTGGTGTTTAACAGGTGGATTTTTATATTTACTGAAAAATCTAAGTATATAATAATACCAATTTTAAAATATAAATGTCAGCACTGGTTTCACTTAAAAAAACTATTGGTACTATATGTTTTCTTTTCAATTCTTTCATTACACTGAATATCTCAGCACAACTGGACCATATTCTTTAAGTACAATATAGAGCAGAATTAACAAAATAGGATTATACAGACCTTGCTGTAATCCAACTTTCACATTTTTAATCATTGGAAAACAGTGGTGGGACTCAATTTTTTTACTACTGGTTCTGTGGTGTGGCTTGGTGGGCGGGTGTGGTTTGGTGGGCATGGCAGGGGAAGGATACTGTAAAATCTCCATTCCCTCCCCACTTCTAGGGGAAGGATATTGCAAAATTCCATTCCCTCCCCACCTCACTAATCTGCTTTCCAGCTCCGTTCTCCTGTGCAGGGCAACAAAAGAAGACCCAGCTAATCAGCTGGGACTTGAGAGGCAGAGAATAGATGGGGCGGGGCCAGTCAGAGGTGACATTTGCCAGTTCTCCGAACTACTCAAAATGCCTGTAGCTCTCCAGAACTGGTCAGAACCTGCTGAATACCACTTCTGATTGGACAGGTAAGAAACATGGAAGATATGTGCTCCTATCATAAAAATAAAGACTGCTAGATGTGATTATTATAATGGTAATTAACAAGTATAGAAAACTTTGACTCTCAACAACCTTGGCATATTAAGAAGATACACTCCTATTAGAATACAGGATTATATACTGTAGTAACTGTACTTCCAGAATACTACTACTACTATTATTGTTATTGTTGTTGTTGTTATTATATCTTTTATTCATTAAACATGAAACTCAGTCAACTGAACATTTAAAAATGTATCACAAATATAATTGACTGGCGCTAATAGTTGATATGGGTTGCTGCTAGCATCCTAGATATCAACCAAGTATTTTCTTAAGATGTACGATGTTACAAGTAGCACTACTTTTTGCAGTTCTGCTGGTGTTATTGTCAGAAGCTGAAATTTCTTGATGTATTTTATAAAATTCTTGGACATGGTACAAAGTGCCTCGATGACAATGGCTATCACATATACACTGTTACATAATCACATAGTTTCGATGGCCAGGATGCAATATTTCATTATTTTTTCCAGTTCTTTTTCTTTTACTCTGATGTCTCCTGGTACAGCGATATCAATGAATTGTACGTTTTGGTTTTCAACAACTGTGATATCTGGGGTGTTGTGTTCCAAATGACCATCTGTCTGTATTCAAAAGTCCCACAGGATCTTCACCTTCTCATTTTCAACAACTTTTTCCACTTGTGTTCCCATGACTTTTTAGCTACAGGTAAGTCATATTTTTTACATCATGACAAGTGGATTAATATAGCAACTTGGTCATGTCTAGCTTTGTAATCAGTTTGCGCAATTTTGCTGTACTCCCATATTAAATGTGAAACAGTTTTGACTTTGTCATTGCAAAGTTGGCAGTTTGGATTGTCAGTGGATTTTTTGTATCTTCGCTTTCATGGCATTAGTTTGTAGTGCTTCTTCTTGAGCAGCAAGTATTAAACCTTCAGTTTCTTTCTTGATGGTTCCCATCTTAAGCCATGCTCATATCAAGTTGTTATCACATTTTTCCTCAATGTTTTTCAGGTGCTGTCCATGCAAAGCTTTGGTTTTTTATCCATTTAATCTGTCATCCAGCTGTTTTTCCTTATATTTTGCCTTTTTTCTGTTGTTTTTATAATATTCTCTATTTTCACAGCCTACAGCAATTTTTCTGTACTTTGATTCAGATAGTCATTCAAACTTCATTTTTCTTCTTCTACAGTTTGATGGATTTGCAATAGCCCTCTGCCCCCTATTCTTCTTGGCAGGTACAACCTGTCGATGTCACTTCATGGCTGTAAAGCGTGGTACATATTCAAAAGTTTGCACGTTTTCTGGTCCAAGTTTTCCAGTTCAGCCAAAGTCCAGTTGATGATTCCAGCTGGGTAGTGTATTACTGGAACTGCCCATACATTAATGGCTTTAATTATGTTTCTAGTATTAAGCTTTCATTTTAATATTTTGCGAATCTTCCTGTATTCCTTTTGCATTGACTCTTTGACTTTTCCATTCAAGATGTTATCTGCTTCCAATATACCTAGGAAATTGTAAGGTTCATCCTTTGCTAATGCTTTCACTATGCTTCCCTTTCCCAGTTCTATTCCTTCTATTATTTTCATTATTCCTTGCTGCATGGATAATATAGCACATTTTTCAAGTCCAAAGTTCATTTTGATGTCACTGCTGAACAGTTGAATTTGTAGTCTGTGCAATCTTCTTGCAACAGCTTACCAGGTGGTCCACTGTTTCTTCAGCTTCTTTGCATAGGAGACACTTGTCTGTTCCTATCTTCTCAATTCCGGCTTTGTATACATTTGTCCTTACAGCTTGGTCTTATGCAGCCAGAATTAATCCCTAGGTCTCTTTCTTTAACTTTTCTCTCTTAGCCATTGCCAGATGTTGTTATTATCTGCTTTCCCTGCTATTTTTTTTAATGTACTGGCCATGTAGTGCTTTGTCTTCCCATGTCTCTGTTCTGTTCTTCATTTGATCTTTCTTGTAGGCCAGTTTGGTCTCTCTGGTAGTCAGCAAGCCTTCCTGGCATATTAACTTCAGTGCATCTTTTTCATTGTCCTTCTGATATTCTTCCAAAGCCCTTTTTTTTCTTCTTCAACTATCTAATGGACTTGCAACATTCCATGCCCACCTATTTGCCTTGGTAGGTAGAGTCTATCAATGACACTGAGAGGATGAAGGGCATGTTGTTATTGTTATTGTTATTGTTATTATTATTATTATTATTATTATTATTATTATTATTATTATTATT